GAAGTTTTAATCTGAAATTTCAGATTAATTTTTTAAACGACAAAGATGCACATGCATACACAAACAAACAAACATAAGGAGGGGAAAAAGAATATTTTTACAATATTTTTATTTAACTATGTTTCCTAGTTTCTCCCCCCCCCCCGATTTATTTTTATTAGAGACAAGTTTCGAAATTATTTTGTTACCCTTTTACGGATGTTGGTCCCATCAACGGCCGAGTTCAGACTGCTGAATGCTGATAGTTCGATCCAGGTTCCAAGCAAATCGGGTACATGGTTGGTTTTTGTAATTTACCCCGTGTAACGTGAATGCGAGCCTGTTTTACCTGCGTATTTCTCTAGGAAAACATCTTTTTCTTAGCCATATCTTCTTCGTATGTTTTGCCATATTCAAATAACCTAGCCTAGCCATCTACAATCATCAATTTTCCAGATGTTTTATATACTATATACGTATTTATGATTCTATCAATACTACTCAGAGATTTTGTTATAAATATCGTTCTTTTATGTCGACTTGTATTCAACACGCATACTCTGTTTTAATCATGAAACAACACCAAAGAAACGCTTTTTAAGAATCTCTAAACTGATTTACCAGCTTTGGAGAAAACATTAAAATTTTATCTATTCTGCAGGTGCAAACAATGACGGATTTTTAAATAGAATGATATAACTGATTCATTGTTAGCTTTCTTAGAAGTTTTAATTAAAGAATTCCATTGTACTTAGGCCCTAACACGATTTTAAACAGCAATAGAAGTGATATAAGTGACGAATGTAGTTATTTACTACATTGAGTGCAATTTTGATTCAAGTATCGCCGTTGGTAGCGCTTCCGTGATATTACGTTTAGTCATATATAACCAAGGACTTGACTCTCGTACGAAGAAGGGTATCTTGCGAGTCATATAAATAATTTCATTCTTTTTAGGAGACTTAGATCATTTTCTTATATTAGGTTACATTACTAGTTATTTTTGTTACATCCATATTGTCCTTTATTCCGAAGTAATATGTTAGTATGTCTTTGATGCTAATTATCTGATAACATGATTAATAGAGTTCCATCAGAGTTAACTCTTTTGCAAGAATCGAGATAAACATTATCAGTTGTGTAAAAATTTGTAAACAAAGTTTATCTGAATTCGCTTATTGTGTGAACCGTATGCCTTATAATAAGGTAACCCTATCCATACAGTTTTAGTTAAAAAGTCCAATTAAATTCAGAATATAAGATTATTCAGCCTAATTCCTAAATATTCACTTTATATTTAAACCTTAAATATGGCAATTTTGCTAAAATTTTCAGTACATTGAAAGAAAGTGCATATTTTCGTATATAAGCTGAGAAGTTTTAGCAAAATATTTTATTAATAATGTTTGGAGTAAGATTATATTCTAGTTAAAAATATTTACGAATAATTCGATCACAAAATGATATAATAGATCGAATGGGTGGAGAAAAAAGTAATTTTATTTTACTCAATCCTAATATACATTAATCAATCTTTTTAATATTGGTATCTGACATGGAATTTCCGAGCAGTTTTCACTGGTCTCTCTTTGCTAGAATGTCACGGTCGTTCCCCCGACCATTAATACCATTATCAAGAGTTTTACAGATAATGCCATCTTCATTTTTGTTCATAGCATTTTTCAGTGAAACAGATAAACTTTAATTTCAAACTATTAAAATTATGCAGCCTTTCTTTTGTCCAGAAGTCATTCAGCATGTAGCCAAAAAAAAAATTGAAATTTTATTCCCGAAAACAAGAGCGTAACTGAGAAGAGGAAGAGGAAGGATTTAGCAATTGTTTGAGGGTATCGCAACCGAGAAATAAAGTAAAATCTGCTATATTATTTCCAAGATGCCAAATAGCACAAAATGCTTTAAAGCATGAAAAGTTAGGGAAGAGAAACTATTGTTACCAAAGTGCCGTTTCATTCTACATTGCTCTTGCTCCCGTGTTTGAGATCGAGAGAAGGTGAAATGGTGGGAATGGTTTAGGTAATTTGGCACTCATCCCTTCAGATCTTCCGATAGATGGATAAATTGATAGATAGTTGTATAAATTGGTCGACCAGTTATTCGCACTTTTGGCGATGTGAGATCGAGAGAAGGTGAAATGGTGGGAATGGTTTAGGTAATTTGGCACTCATCCCTTAGATCTTCCGATAGATGGATAAATTGATAGATAGTTGTGTAAATTGGTCGACCAGTTATTCGCACTTTTGGCGATGTATATATAAATTGGTTTATATGCGTATATATCGCGCTATAAATCCATCTATAGGTATAAATTATAATAATTTCTACATATAAGGTCTACTGTAAAATTCTGTTCGTTTGAGAAGTGAAAGATAATATTTATTATACATTGTAATTTCTGTGGTGATGAATTAATGGTAATCTGAAGATAACATTTTTGAAAAAATGTATCGTAGTTTGGAGAAGAACTCAAATAATGATCGTCTGATATCTGCTTGTTTTCAATTTTTTCCCCTTCACAAAAATTTGCAAAGAGGAAAATAAGTGCTAATTGGAGTGTTCTAGGTCTGGAGAGTATGGCGGATGCTTTAGAATTTACCAGCCTAACTCTGCTATTTTCTGACGAGTCGTCAAAGCAACATGTAGTCTGGCATTATCATGATGCAGAATGATGTGCTTCTTATTGAATACCGTCGGCTTCTTTTCTTTGACTGCTTTGTTTAAATTGTCCATTTGCTGATAGTATCTTTCCTAATTGAGCTATTGAGCTTATTTTTAGGTTTCAAAAGCCTGTACATTGGTCCTTGCACGCCTTACGATCTGCATAGCATTCTATTATTCAGCTCAAACTCGATTTAAAGGTGATAAGGGCAGGCTGCCCAAGTTCACAGTATGCTCTTTTCCTAACGATGTTTTCGTACGTAATCCGCCTTTCTTCACCAGTTATTATCGGGTCGAAAAGGATTCGTTTTTCTTCAATAGCAGAGGTATGCATGTGATGTTCAAGCAGAGGTATGCATGTGATGTTCAAGCAGAGGTATGCATATGATGACTCGATCATGCAAAATTTTCTCGCGTAACTCATTAGGCACCCATCTAGAATATATATAAACCAATAGTAGATTCGCAATATGATTCAAAATCGCATGTTCAGCTGAATTAAGCTTTTCTACAATCTCCAGTATTGCTAAAAAACAGATCTTGCTTTATCATGGTGTTGACAATATCATCATCGATCAAAGATAAGCTACCTTGAGCTTGGCTTATCATCAAGGTCGAAATAACCTGCTTCAAATTTTTCAAACCGTCTCCTGCACGTTCTGTCTGAAACTGCATCTCCACTAAAAACTGCGGCTATAGCTGGGCACACTCCCGTAGCATTTCTTCCTGGTTGGAATTCGGACAAAATACAGCGTTCTTAATGAACTTTATCGGTAATGTTTACATGACCGCATCTCACTTAATAATAATATGAGACAGTTTTATTTCAATTATTTAAAAGAGCAGATGTCTATAAATGCAGTGATGAAGACAGATAGGCACATATGTCTCAAATGAACACATGCATGCGTCCTGAAACTTGAAACAGCATTATCAGACAGAACTTTCAGGTTGGCATTATGTGGCTTTACAGCGCGAATTTTAAATTCAGCTTGCAAATGGGTTGAATTTCAGCAGCAAATTTATCGCTTGTTTTAAATACGAATCAGCTTAATATACGGTAGTTATATCACGAAACTGAAAATTTTCTAATTACATTGTGTGTCCATATTGCAAAAGTAAGAATGCAGTGGTTGAATTACTTGATAAATGAATATTCATTTATAATTTAAATCAAATTTTCAGATGGAAATATAAGATCTAAACTTATAACGCTTGTGCATAGTTAAGCATACTATCCATTTTTTGAACAGCGCATATTAATAATACGCGCTGCTTTTACCCTAAACTAACTATATATGGAGCTAATTAGAAAAATAATTTCGTACGAAAATGAAACTAATGTTACACGAAACAGAGGTAAACCCTTATACATGGGAGTGCGAATTATTTACATATTTGTATATTCAGATAAAATTAACAAAACATGCACAATGATTAAAAATCAAAAGCTTTATTCACATGCATAAATAAGAAACATATAAATACAGGTTGAGCTCCGTAACTAAATTTAAAGGAAGTTAATTAAAATTATATTAATATATATATGTACTGAGTTCTATTTTACCTTAAAACATATTTAAATCATCAGTTATGCATTTTACTCTAAATGAATTTTGCAAGTAACTGAGGATCTTTGTTTTAAAAATTCTCGATATATATGAAATAATAAATGAACTCCAAAAAATTAATGATTATATCATATAACAGTAAATGATAAATTCTGAATAAAGTTAGCAAAACTATTAAAGCAAAGATAATAAATAAATTAAAAATTGAAAAATAAATAAAGCAACATTTAAAAAAATAAATAGCAAAAATTATAAGCAAAAATTTTAAAAATTACTCAGAGTTTTATCTTTTACTGATCTATAACGTTATCGCAAAACTTTTTATCGAATTCTCGTTTTGTTAGATTTCTTACTTTAATTTGAGCAGCACTTATAGAGCTCCCAGGATGTCCAGCCATGTCTTTTGTCTCACTTATACTATTATTTCATTCACTTGTATTCAACCAGTTGCATACATACATATAACATGAAAATATGCTGAATAAGTTTCAGAATATAAGGTTTATATTCTGAATTTATAGAAACATTAATTTCAGGAAGTTATAATGCTTTTCTTTTATAGTAGTTAATATTACAAGTTTAGTTTCAAGCTTAAAATAAATACTCAGCGTAGTTAAAGGTTCTCACGCACAACAGATATCTTATACAGAAACCATAATGTTGTTTTTAATAAACTTGAAAGTACTCGAGGTTTTAAACTAAGAGTCTGAATCCTGTAAAATAGATTTATAATGACCGTTAAACACAGCAATCAGAAAGAATATCGCAAGAAAGCCAAATATTAAAACATTACTTTATTTAAGCAATGAAGCTTTTATTTTGTGAAAAATAATAATTATTAATTAGTACACAGTAACTTGACCATTATTACAAGAATCTTTTCTACAGCTAAGGAAATCATACGACCCAATTAAAGCGCAAAACAAAAGCATGTCAATCATCTAAATATGTAAGCATAAAAATATTTTTACTCAACCATATATCATTTCGCTAAAATTAAGTACAGCATTATTCCTTACTGTATTCTGTGCTTTATACTTTAATGATGATATATACGAAGATTATGTTCCGTACTCAGTTTTTTAAATGTAAAATGTAATTTAAAGTAACAAGGTATATTTTATTTTTACTTATATTTTTACTTTATATATTTTTTTACTATACTTCTCTTTATATAAAATCATACGACAATATACAATTATGTATATTGAACAAAGATCGTTGTAATATTCAAGTTAACTGTAAGAGAACTGATGTATGGTCTTTTTATGCATTCTATCTACCAGTATAAATAAAACTACTACTAATTATATTAGCAATAACTAAAGGAAATGTAGAAAAGCAGTTCAAGTTTGAGCACATTACTTTAGAAGAATCAATTAAGATACTGAATTAATACATATAATATTTACATGAACGATATATTCACAACAACACAATTAAATAAAAACTTCACACACCTCGGTAGTTCTTTCTAAGACTTAGGAACATCCTCATAGAGTGTACATTTAAATTAACTTTGGTACAAAAATACATTAGCATATACATAAAACAGCAATATCAAATCATTTGAATAAATTATGAAAACATCAGATAAAAACATACAGTAATAATGTGACGTTCTCTTAATATGAGATTTTAAATTAGGATAACACTGATAACAGTGTCAATGAATAAGATCAATTCTTTTCTATTTTTCACTCCACGCAAAAAAGCTAGAAATATCGTTGCAAGGATTTCAAAATTCGCTGCAGGCATTTTCTACTAAAAGATAAAATGTCTGCAATAGTCTTTATTATGGATTTTCCCGCTGTCAATATCTTGCAAACCTGTATGCAATTCAGACGGGTTCCAAAACGGACAAAAAATTGTTCAAAGTCAATCCTTGACAAAAACATATCAGTATTAAATTATACTTGGCATTTATCAGTAGTTGCTCTAATGAAATCTCCAAGTATTTTCATCACTTATTTTTAATACTGGTGGTACATGTACTGCTATTTCCCTCTTCGTTCTTAATTTTCTTCGGTTAAAAATACTAGGTGCGAAGGCAATTATATTATTATCCTCCCATCCAGTTTTATGCTTAAAGTCAGCGTCTGGAGGGGAATCATTTCTTCTGGAAGGTCGATCAACAAATAAGTTCCAAGGCTGTCTAGAGCCCTTAGGTGATCTTTGACGTTTGCAGAAGATTCTAGAACACCTCTTCTTTTTCATTCCCCATATGAGTGCATCCCAGTGAGGTTCATTTCCATAACTTCTGAAATAAAAATGCAAACAATTTTTAAGAAATACATTCTTGTTTTGATAGGAAAGCATTATTTTATTCACAAACATATTTAATGCATATGGAGATCTAAATACGCCATTTAAGAGGAAATCAAGACTTCATTAGGCGGACTACAAGTTTAGAAAAGTATAATTACGTTTGAACATATTTGAAAACAAGGTCAAAAGCATTGTGCAATTGTTAAAGTACACATTTTGTAATTAAATAGATTTATCAATGGCAACTACGAACTTCATTTTAAGTTAAAATAATCTGCATATTTTCTTTGTTTTCTCAAAAACAAATGTTTAGTGATCGCCCCACATGCGAAAAATACTAGTGTAAGTGAGTTAAATAAAAGTTATGGAAAACATGTGAATAATTCTTAACTGAATAATAATTCTAAAAATAATATAAATAAAAATTTGTTATTACTTAAGAGTAATTAAAAGAGAATTTTCTGACACGGCTTGAAATTTATAAAGACAAATTAAGAAATTCAAGAAAAGACTTTTTTGCAGTGTTTTTCGAAATATATTCAAAGAATGAATGATTTTCGAAAGACGTTAGGCAAAGATTACCGAACATGGTTTTCGAACTAGAATGTCGAATTGTGAAAATTATAATGTTTGATGTTAGAACAACACTTTCGTAGAATAACCATACCGTACTATATGATATATATTATGCAATATATTATTCATATACCATATTATGAATCATATATCATATCATCTTATATAACACCTATCATATGAAACCATATAACATGATATCACATTATACATATAATATGTTGTAATAATCATGCCTATAATGTGATATCATTTATATCGTATGATATACCATAACATATAGGATGATCAAGTTTAATTACAAAATTACGCAGTTTTCTAAAATTCCAGCATCACAGTTCCCGATTTCAAATACATTCTACATTTTTCATGCGATTTGTTTCCATAAAATTCTTTTTAAATACCTTGTACAAATATTTTGTTATTGCAATTTTATTAAAGTTTCACATTCATTACTTTCTTTCAATATTTCATTTACACTCGTACAGATACAATAGAATAAATTTTGGATGAATAATTAAGGGTTTTGAAAGAATAACATTTTTATGTGTTATACATCACACTGCAAATTATGTAAGCATCATGTACTGAATTACAAAGCATGCTGAACTAAAATTAAATATGGAATATATTTCGAAACAAATCTACTATTTTTTCCCGTTTTCCTTAGAGGAAAAAAAAGCTTTGAATACCGCATGCTTTTCAGGTATCTCTCTCTATTTTACACTCTAGAAAGAGATGTAGTTGAACAAAGGAAGCACCAACCTTTCTAAAAAATTCGATTAACATAAAAATTCAGAGGGTACAGTAATCCTCAAATAACTGATTTCTGGAATCTATTCAACGGAAACAGATATACTTGGAAGAATTCGAAGTACTCCAAAATGTAACACAGTTTCTCATTTAGATTTTCTAAACAAATGTCTTATGTTAAAAAATATCTGAATCAATTTCAAAATCGTTTGATTCAGAGTGCACTGAAATTTGCTATAAATTTCATACATACATTTTATCGCTTGACGAATTGTTACGATGAGGGAAAGGAGAGAGAGATCTTTTATACTTATTTCTAATTAATTATTTTGCGTCAGACATGGTGTGAAGCGAAGGACTCACGTGTCTGAACTCTTAAGAAATATCGCTAGGAAGTTTACAAAAAATTTAATTAAAAAAATTTGCTTCTAAAAAATTAAATAGAATTAAATATTCTCAGGTATTGTGAATAAAATATTGGAACAATATTCTAATAGCCGCATCTTTTAAAATAACAGTGGAAAAGTTCGTAAGCTAATGCAGCTACATGAAAAGATAAGAGGAAATTGAAAAAATCGGGATGAAAAACCGCTTTGGAAATATAAGGACATTCAGAAGAGATGAAAGATTTATAGACGAATCTACGTAATTCTACAACTGCATAAACTGAGCTTTAAATCAAGCATGAATAAGACGAAGCGGTTTGCAGCTCTAAGTAAAAGGCAGATAGAGTACGATGCGCAAGAGAAGACTGTTATGGGGTCAAGAAGGGCTGAAGTTTTCAGCCTGAAAGTATAATTTATATGATCAAGGTCAATGAAGGATACGTGTTTGGATTCTCAAGTAAGAGACATTTGATAAGAAATGCATCATACGTTCAGTGAAATTTGTGACCTCTGTCATCGTGATTGCAGAGGGTCCTTGACAAAGGCCACAAAACAGCAAGAGAAGGAGAAGGCCATCTGTTTTGACTGACGGAATAAGTTCCTAACTGTACCTAAATTCTTGAAGATTTTATGGACATCGAAAGATTTATATGATGGTGTTTCGTTCATCAACTGTTACCAGGTAGATCTAAGGTGAATCACCTTTAATAGCTCTACCTGGTAACAGATCTATCCTTAATAAAAAAATTCACCAGTTTTAAATCCTAAAATCCGATTTCAGGAAATTATCTTAAAAAAACATTCTTCAATACTTTCCCCAGAAAGCAAAAGTGATCCAGTAGAACACATTTGAATGTTTTGATCAAATTGTATTAACATCTGGTAAATAAAATTTAGTTCGTTTGCACATTATCATAAAATTTAAAGGTTACAACGCGGTTGAACGGAAATTATCCGGATTAACTCCGGATGTCCTGTCGCCCTTTAAAAGGGGGAGTATATCTGCGCGCTGAGCCGGTATTTCAGAAGTGCGTGGTTCGATTCCCGGCGAAGGCGGTTGCATATTTTTCATCTTGCCTGCTTCCAAAAAAATCCTAATGTCTCTATAAAGTACCAAATCATTAAATGCAAGTCTTAGAAAATTCATGTGAAGCAATATGGAAATGTGTTTTTAACGTTTTCTAAAACTTTTGTATCAGCTCCAAATCTAACGAAACAGACAGGGCAAATATTGTTAATTTTTAAACTTTTAAAATACATTTCTTTCAAATTTATTAAGACTTTAGTCTGACAAATGTGGAATACACAGATATGATTTATTCCGAATCTATATGTGAAAATCAGCAACAGCGTGTTTTAATTTTCAAGTTTCGTGAAAATTTGTGACAGTAAGCCACATATATTTTTTTAATCTTCAATACATTGCAAATTTTTATATTAGCTTAACAAAAAATTCTATTTAAAATAAAAGGACCTTCATTTTTTCAAGTATTAATTTATTTATTGGCAAATCTTTAATAACACTTAATGGAGCTATAAAAGTGATAATGTACTCTTTTGTTGTTACAAATATTTGCTCAGAATCAAATTATTATCTTAAAACTTACTTTTAACTTAATTTTAGTTCAAATACTTCATATTTGATTTTTCTTTAATTTTATTGGCAGTATTTTTTACTGTAATATTTAAAATTTTTGCCATTTTAAAAATATTTTTTCTAATTGTATAATAAAAAATAACATTTGTAATACATAATATTAGTTAAAGATCCGAAAAATTTTGAAAATAATGGTTATCTTTTAAGTTACAAGGATTTTAAAGCTTAAATTAATGAAAAATTCAAGAAATGTATTTAAAGAACCTTAAAATATGGACAATAACTCACAAATGCATTTCTAATATACGTTTAAAGTGCGATACAAATACGGTATTTACAAGATAAATTTATTAGCATATGTTATTGCAAATACTTTGATTACAAATTTAGAGAATTGACATTTTAAGAATTGTACCAAATTTTTTGTGTGCCACTGTAAATTTGTTTTCTTAATAGCAATTTTAGGTTGATAGTCTACGAAGCGTAAAGCATATTTAACGCACTATAAAAATTTTCAAACTACGTTTGGAACTTCTATTTAAAATTAAAGGAAAATGTTTTATTATAAGCAGAAAGCGGTGTAAAGCTCCTTCTAATAATATGAATGTTTCCACGTTTGAAATGTATATTGATTAAATAGCCAAAAGATATGTTTATTTATAAGACATGGATTTCATTTTAGCAGCGAAAGATTCAGTTGTGAATTAGTATGGGTAAATTGCTTCCTTTTGTGCAAAAATTATAAATACGACCGATATTTCATTCAGAAGAAACACTACAATAACATTCTTTCGAAAAATTCCATATTTTCAAAGTTCATTCGAAGATTATATCCATTACAAGCAACTGACATAGTTGCTAAGCATTGTAAGCCAACGCGTGCAGGATTTTGTAATTTTCGATGAATGAATGCTACTCAAGGATATGTTTAACTGAAAGCTAAATAACATAACACTTTAAAATTACCCTATAACTATGCAAAATAATTCAAGGTAGCTTATTTGTTACTGAATAAGTTTAGAGGGTTTCGGTAGCACATTTCATCTGCGTAACAATTTTTAGAAGATAGGTTTTGATATATTCCCTTTATGGCTTGTTATTTTGCCACTTATAGCTTCTTAGCAGGATGCCAGAATAAATGTTCTTAAAGTTTAAACTAGTTAACGCTGGAAAATTGCAATAAAAAACAATGAAGCGGAACTTTTGAGAGAAAATGTTTTAGCATTAATTTAAGCTAAAGTTTACACAAAGAGAACGAGTAAGAACTATCAACATTATCATGTGAACCGTGAAAAGCATTCTTTCAGTAACAGCGATATCAGTGACAAAGAACATACGGTTTCTCACTCACCTCAACTGAAGCGTAATCTCTTCCACTGATGGCAATCTTGAAAGCAGCCTTCCGGCGTTGCAGGCTCTCCTCAGGCTACAGTAATCTCTCTTGCTGTTCTGTGGTCTCTGTCGAAGTGTAGCTTGCCATAATCTTTTCTCCAGTCTGTCACTGCTTCGTTGGTCTAACGATCGTTTGCTACGTAAAGCATGTGGCTGAATTTTAGATTGGACATAATCTTGCAACAACTCTTCTGCGATTTCAGCTGCTTTTTTTGTGAAAACATTATTTCTTTCAGTATTTTCGTTCATAGACTCAACGTCAGATGAACCTTTTTCTTTTAGCATACTGTCCCTCATATTATTATTTTTCGTAATTTCTGAATTACTGCTATCGCTAATTGAGGCTACAGATTCTTCGGAAGACGTGGCCAAGAAAGACAGAAAGCGTTTAAGAAATTCATTTTCTATTGTATTGTTTGGCTTAGTGACATCTCGCTTAGACATTTTGTCTGAATCAGTTTTGGAATCAGGAAAAATATAATCTAATATTTCATCTAACCAGGTTCGAGACTCAGGTACACCTCCTTTTTCTTCAGAGAGATATTTTAGCAACTCAAGTTGATTAGTAGAAGACAGTGTTGAGAGAATAAGGTCTCTAGCTGGAAGTTCTTTAGGTTTCGTATCTGCAGACCTTCTGAGTCGTACTATAGGTGTCGCAAATGTTGGTAACACCCAGGTGGGTGCCAATAACACATCAGACGATCGCCATTTGTCATGGTCATCATCTTTATGAGCGAACATCTTTTCAATTATTTTGTCAACAAACTGATCGACTACCATTCGTACCATTTTCATGAACATTTGTTCCCAAGGTGCTTCTTCAACCATACTTTTAACGAATTTCACCATTCTGACAGGAAGAATATCGTGAATGGATATTTTTTCATCGGGCATAAGATCTTTGCCGTAAGGTAAGAAAGGATGAAATAGAAACTGCCTGGATGTAGCCACTAAATTCCTTTTAGATTCGGAAGAATTTTCATTCACTTCGTTCCCAGAACGTTTTGAGGGTGAGGAGAATAAGCGAAGTTGCTTGTGTAAAGTATTTGTAGTTTCCTCCATCGAAAATATATTAGATTGAATGTCTGACGTAGAAACGACAATTGAGTCACCATCCTCAATTTTAAAGTCACCATATAAATGATTTTGGTTTTTATTAAGATTCTCCATTTGTGACGACTTCTGCGGTAAGCCTGAATTTCGATCCGTAACATGATCTTCAGTTTCATTTTTCAACGGAAGTGTTGATATTTTTGAAACATTTTGTGTTTTTAAGTCAATTTCATTCTCTTTACTTTCTTTCACATTAGGCTGAACATGAAAGATAGTAGGGTTTTGCTGAAATTTCTCAGTCATATTGTATGTAGGGAGTTCCACAGTATGCGATATGTTCGAAACCGACGAATTCTCTGTTCGTGGAAAAGTATACTTTCCCGCGTAATGATAAAGATTAAAGGAACTGCAAGGTTTTAATGTTCTTCCACTCAGCATTAAAGTCCACATAAATAGTGACAATTTTGTAAGCATTTTGTATGAGCACGAGGAATGCATTGATACAGCAGAATTAGAAACCTGTAATAACAAAAAAAAAAAAAAAAAATAAAAAATAAATAATAAATAAATAAAATAAAATAAAAAAAGAGAAACTTAAAAAAATACAACTTTCTATTCTTTTATATTTAACAAGCATTAATATTTATTAACACTGGAAGTCATATGTAATTCGTGAGGTGAAACAAAAGTAGCACGTTAAGAAATGTTAAGTTGTTGGTATGTTTTTGTATAATGTTAGACGTACTGCAAAGAAGAATAAGCGTGTTTGAATGAAATAAAATGAAATAGGAATGAAAATAGTATATTAACTAAGTAATAAAGAAATTAATAATAATTTTAAGGCTATTAAACAGGATCTGGATCCTACTGAATGGGTAGGTCCTCCTAATGATATTCTTGTGGAGAATATATTAATATTAATATATTCCGCTGCTTGTAAGTAGTAATGGAACATAACGTTCAATAACTTAAACAATAAATTTCCCCACAATGAAGCCGATTACTCAATATAAAATAAAAAGTCTACCTCTCTCTGACTGAGGCTTTCTAGATTAGTTAGTACTTAAATAATGATTCTTCGGGAATATTCTATAAATAGAAAGTTGTTCCCAGTTACCTAAAGAAGGTTCCATAAAATATAAGAATCTTCTTACCCCGAATTTCTGGACTTTACTATGATATCTGTTTATTTTATTATTATCATTAAATTATTTTATTAATAATATTTTACCATGAACCTTTTAGCTTATATTATGGAGCTCGAAATGCTATTTTTTCTAGTGGAATACTAAAACATTTTATGGACTCATAGGAGTCTACTTAAACCCCGGTTCGGAAAAAACTCGGGGCATTTTAAACATGACTATGGGAATGGAGTTTGAATAAATAACCAATCGTGTTATAAGAATTATGTATATTACTGTAAAATTTGAGAAATGTTTAAATGGAGCAGTACTTTCTAATACGCACCGATTTCTAATTCGGTAACAGTCCGAAATATGAAATCTTCTTACTGATATTCTAAGTTTTATTTGAGGACGTTTTTACCTGTCTAAATTTACCAAACAGCCTTGATAAAAAATAAACATACTTACTGTTTCAAAATAAATCTTACTAATATAAGTTACTGAAAAAAATTTAGTTTCCAAAAGCTTAAATTTTTTTAATGATTTTATACAATAAACTGAATTTATTTGAAAATTCTTATATTGCAATTTCGTTATATCGTTATACATTACGTTTATTCCTTGCTTAGATTTCGAACCTCCTGATAGCTACGAACTTTTATTTGTACATTCCAATAGGCAAAAAATTTTTGCACCCTGGTCCTCAAATTTTAAAATGATTGTGTTTGAAAACTTTACAACAATTATGCCTAAGACTTTTTGAAATTGACCAAGTGCTTTTTCTTTTGGTTACTCCATACATCGATTTTGAAATTTTGAATAAAATGTTTTCAGAGCTTCCTAATATTATCAAAATAAAAACATTTAATTCGACAAAAATTAATGCAGACGGCTCACTCAGCTCTTTCCAAAAGCAGAATTTAATAATAAAAAATTTTGCAAATTTTGATGACAAAGCAGCAAGAATATTTTCATGATTTATGAGTTGCATATCGAATCTATTTGGAATTATGAATTTATTCCATTGTGTGAATTAATTATTATTACCACACCTTTTTTTATTATGCTTCTTTTGACACAACTAGTATACATGTAAATACAATGGATGGTTGATTAAACAGTCACGTTTTTATACTTGCCATTCAATTCTATAATTAGCATACTTTGCACGTCATGGCTAATAGCGATATACTTTCTGCATTACCTTATTAAAACAGGTCGTGAAAATCAATACGATAAAGAATTCTTTCCATCCACCAGAATCGGATGATAAAATTTTCTATATTCAAGGCTAAAATTCAGAATATCATTTTATCTCAAACGTATATTATTAGCGCATTTTTGCAAGCCCTAATTTTGCATTTTTTACGTTGCTCAAAAATAATATATTATCTATTAATAAAATAGCTATCTTCATTCTTTTTATTGTACTATTCATAGATTCACACAAAAGCTGGTAAAATATATTATGTATAACTTCACTCATACTGATGAAAGAGAGAAATACTTACAATTACCACAAAAATTAAAACATGTTCTATGTGAAACACCCGCGTATGGGACCAGATTGAAATTAGGTGGAACTAGCTTTTGCCAATTTGTAGAGGTAAAGCTCGACGTTACCGAAGTCTTATTTTAAAAGCTCGAAGTGTAAATATTTTACTCCATACAGAATGTTCCAAAATTATTAAAAGAGTTAGATTAGACCTTTAAAAGAGGTAGAACACACCACACCAAATATTTTTCATCACAGAATACAGGGTCGGATTTATTAAAAGGTTAGGCACCATAAGCTGCTTTCTTTCCCCTCTCCCAAACACACATCTTCCGCGACGCAGATTCATAAGGAACCCCATCGTCATTCTTTTTGTATTTGTTTTATTTTTGTATTTTGTCATTTATGATTTGATTTTGTTTGTATGTGCTCCCCAATTATGGAATGGCCTTATTTCTCAGAAGATAATTTACATATTTGATATTTTTTATTCATTGTGGTCCCGGAGTTCTCCTCTCAAATCAACCAAGCAACTTTCGGCTAAGAAACGACGGTTTCATTTCTTTACTTCCAGATGTTTTTCCATTTAAACAGAGGAATTCTTAACTTCAAGCTTAATTACACATAACTTCAATAAGCCGGATATGTCGCGCTTCAAGTAATATTCGCTTTTAAAATGTCAGAATGATGAACCACGCACTGTCATTGTTGACAAGGAACCCATGTAGAAGACGGACGATTATTTGTTTCTGAGATGTAGAAGATATTCGTGTGAGAAAAAAAAAGCGTCCTCCAGCATCTAACCGATTAATGTAAAATCATACATTTTAAGATTTAAAATGTTTTCTTCGATGTGTTTTATCACTCCTTAAAGCTTGTTACATTAGTTTTGAAATGTCCTCTATACTGGACTTTTACCATATGATCTTAGCAAACCATATCACTAAATTCTAAGATTTACCATTCTTCGAACTTTACAATAACATATTTAAGAAAATCCATTGATAATGAAAATGTTGCGTTTTGCACATTAAAATAATTTCGCAACTAGAAACTCTTCCTCTGACATAACTATTTCATAGATCTCTAGAAAATACACTGGTGGGCAGTTGCTAAGAACGGATGACTAGAAACCATAAAATGGAAGGCGAAAAAATGTGGAAATTAACATAAGTGCAGTACACAATAAGATGCGTTGTGCCTCTGCAAATTCTGGATTGCCGAAAATGTTATTCACGTGATAGAACTGATAAGAGTTATAAAAGACTTGACGCGTGTTGACCGTTGTTGTTCCAAAGTAAAATTTTACGGGAAAGAATCAATTGACGCACTAGCAGTCAGCCACGGTGTTGTGTCAAGGCTTTGGAATTATTTCAAACAAATGTAATGTTTAGCAAACTTCACGGGTAAAGCAGAAGATAGGTACATAGTGCTATCCACAAAAAGTAGCCGGCGCACCACAGCTATTGAGGAAACAAATCAGTTACTGGCTGCTACTTGACAAGCGAATCTCCGGAAAAATTGCAGCTAAATGTTTGCATCAAGGAGGACTATACGCACGCCTTCCTGTTGTGTGCATTTCTGTTGTCTAGATGTCACTGCTCCGCCCAGTTACAATGGTGCCATCAGCATCACAATTGGCGGAAAAGCGACTTAACTTATGTACTGTTCTCATATGAGAGTAGATTCAGTCTGTCATCGGATTGCAGACGCGTGTTGATCTGCCTGATATTGGTATTGCACATAGTCCGGAAAACATACAGGAAAAGAACCGATATCCAACATGTAGTGTCATGGTATGGGCTGGGATCATGTTCAGCGGCAGTGCGTCGCACTGTGAGCTTCCAACTGGGATTATGACTTGCAAACTATACCTTAATGATGTTCTGCTGCCTCATGTTCTTATGCATCGTGGTGTTGTCGGTGATAAATTTGTTTTTATGGACGAAAACGCAACATGTCATCTGTCCAGTCTCTGCCCAGGAGAGTCTAGAGAGCGAGGATATTCAACAACTCGTATGGTCAGTATTTTCTCCAGATCTGAATCCCATTGAAAATGTTTGGGATGCTTTGGGGAGGAGTCTTGCTGGTCAGTGCCTTCCAATAAACAAGAACACTCTCATTCATACACTGGCAGAGGAATGGGACGAATTATCCCAACGGCTCCTGGGATAATGATGTACAAAGTATGACACGACGTGTGGAATCTTGCGTCGTTCTCAATGGTGGCTATATCCCGAATTGGCACCTTACGTCAAAATGCCTGCAGACGATAACTGAATTGTTTTCACTTTTACATATTCAGCAAAATATGAACATTTCGTCCCTTGAATACTTTTCAAAGTCTTCTAGATTTCCGAGCATAATAAAGTATCTTTATTGTTATGGCCTAGTATTCTGGCATTATTTTATTTCATTTAGCATCCAGCCCCATACATTTTACGCGCAATGTAACCGTTTGTGATCAGTCCTTAACAATTGCCCACCAGTGTATTTAAGATAAGAAAGATAAGATACTTTCAGTTCCTCTCTCCAAAGTAAAGAAAAGTTATTTTCAATTTCCTCATCTCTTTCAATTACAATCAGAAAAAGTAAAGCTTGATTCCAAAATGATTTCACTTCATTTTTCTGTTTAATTTATCATATTCGCCATACAGAAATAATGTATCGAGCTATATCGTTGTTTGAAAAATGTGGCCAACGGATAGCCAATCAATTAACATTCACACTTATCCATTATTACATGGTTAAAAAAAATAATCGTTGACATTCTTATTAGCCGTCTCTAAAATTAAGAAATGCCCAGCGTCGTAATGAACGAGAACAGTATTTTAAAATTAAAAACGATTTAAAAATTTGTTTAAAAAATGTACGTTGTAATAACTTAAATACAAATA